ATTTTTGTCATTTGTTGAGAACTCTGTATGGTGAATGTTCAGTTGTTTTTGCCGTTCAGGGTTGTGTCGTTTAATGTTTATCGATGTAAACCTTTCCATCAACTTGTTGTGTCACAGATGTGAACTACTATAAAGGTATTTCAAACTCAATATCAGGGTCTATTAAATCATCGTGGCATGGTCAATGGTCAAAATGTCTGCCATACAATGTACATGGTTTAGTACCTCCTTTCAACATGTTCAAGCATTAATTATACTAACCACCAGTTTTAGGGAGGGTAATAAATTTGTCCCTTCTTTTTTACTTTGAAGAGGATGCAAACAGAAATATTTTGGTATAAATTTGGATTCCATCGGACTCTGCAAATCAAAGAAAAATCAGTGTGAAGCGGGGATGTTTGGAGATTTTTTTTTTAGAGCAAACTGATTATTTTGTACACAAAAAATGAGTTTGATTTTAACTGAAAACCCCCAAATTCATATTTTTGTACATTGTAAAATCTTTGTTCTTGTTTGTGCCCTATTTCAATGAAGCAAATGCTAGCTTTAGTTCAAATTTCAAACATTGTGAAATTGGAAATTAATTAGAGGAGCTACAGAATGCAAAAACCCCCCAATTTTAATCACAATTTCCTATTTAAGGAGAAAGAGTTTCCAAATAAACAGCGCCATCACTCATTTATTCATGTCTCTACCAATCGCGGGGCCTACAGAGGTAGGTCTATATAATTCTATGCCTACTAACAACCATCATGACCATGGTGACAGTGTACTCATTGGAATTGTATTTAAAGCTCCAAGTCTTATGTCCATGATGGTATAATCGCAAGGACCCTTATTTCGCCGCTTAGGCCTACTGTGAAGAAAAGCAATCAGACTTGACAAAAGGTGGCGAAATGAACCTGGCGACTATAACATACAGTGTACATGTACAGGAACAGGTCAGCTCGTACACAAGCCAACTTGTACAGTATGTATGTACACCAACCAACTCGTACATCAAGCAACTTGTACATCACGTGTACGAGACGCAAAATACACTCACAAAGGTGTATTAATGTACTAGCGATCTTGCGATGGGTTCCTACCCGTGTGGCACGGGGGATAGTATTGTCTGAAAAAGTACACCTAAAATTTCCGCAACCCAAGTTTTATTTCCAGCTGCTGAGTATCCACACTTTCAGAAATCAAGACCCCCAGAACACGAACCCCTGCAGCTCTTTTCAGAGCAACGCATTTTCAAAAGGGATGCTGCATTGCAGAAAGGCACTTTTTAGAGCCACATCCCCTCTCCCAAAAATGTATTTGTTGCTAGGAAAGCAATCTATCTGGGGAAAAAAAGATACATGTAGTTGAAATACCACCCCCAAAATTTCAAGAAAATAATTAAGAAAGGAATTTGCCTCAGTACATAAAACATTCTTCCAAATCCCAGTTCATTTTCTATTTCTCAGCGGTCGACATAGCTTGGGAAGAAAAGCTACCTGAAACTCCCGTGTCAGATATCTTTCGCATGAAAATGACTTTCAGAGTCTCAGAGCAGAAAGCTGAACGTATTCCTAGTTTGATTGCGAGTGTATGAACTACGCATGGCGTACATGTACGAGTTGGTGCATACGAGTTGGTATGCGTACGAGTTGACCAGCATTCACATTATACCTATAGAGGGTTTGCATGGCTGCCATCCTGTACTCTAGTGTCCTTGTTCCATGGGATATGCATAAAGGTTTCTTTGTGGAACAAAACAACTGCCCTTCAAGATGGCTACCTCGCAAAGCCTCTATTGTGTTTTGTACAATAAGTTTCCATGTTCCGTTAATGTTTATGTACATAGACAACGACAACATGAACATAGTTTTTGCCCCTTACATGCTGGCACCATGCTTATGCTTGAGCAGTATTGTTAAATCAAATTTCACACAAAAAATGAAATGTCATGAATCTCTGAACATTCTTGTGCTAGCATAGTTGGGTTTATCAGAACTAATCAACTTTAGAGAAATTCTGAAATATTAACTTTTGTTTTTGATTTGGATTTTGTTTGAAG